TAGTTTGTCACTCCTTCTTCCTAGTCCTGGTTTAAGGTAGATTATTCAAAATCCTTATTAAAAGAGATATTAAAGTTTAAGCACCAAAACCCCGCTTTGTCATTGAAGTCCAGCTTTGTTTAAGTGAAAATTAAGTAAAATAATCCTTCCTAGTACCTGGTTTAAGGTACATTATTCAAAATCATTATTAAAAGAGATCTTAATGTTTGAACAGCAAAACCCTGCTTTGTCATTCTAGTCCAGCTTTGTTTAAGTGAAGATTAAGTAAAATAATCCTTACATCCCACAAAAAACCCACTGCTACTGAATTGACTCCAACTCATGGTTACTGTATTAGACAGTAGAACTGCTTCTAGGGTTTCCAAGATTGTAGATCTTTATAGGAGCAGACAGCTTCATCTTCCTCCTACAGAACAGCTGGTGGGTTTCAACTACCCACTTTGTGGTTAGCAACCCAATGCCTAATCCATACTGCCACCAGGATTCCTTAATCCACGTATGACACCTAGTGATTTTGCTGCACAAATGTTAACTTTTATTCAGGGAAAGAGACTGTAAGAACGTTGGGAGCATATACATTTTTTACCCTATTCTTTGCTGGAAAAAAATCATTCCACCTCCTTTTTGTATAGACATGAACTACATAGATGCTTACTACTGTCCAAACTGAAGATTACTCTCTGTATTGTTAACTGTTGTTCTGCACTGTTGAAATTTCAGCCATGACTGCTAAAGATTGTCCATCGTTGTGGGGCTTTGGAACAACAAAAACATATAAGATCCCCATTGAACATTTGGATTTCAAATATATTGAAAAATGTTCAGATGTTAAACACTTGGAAAAAATTTTTTGTGTGCTCAGGTAAGGATTTAACAATTGTTTCATATTGCAGTAGTAGTCTGTTGATTTTAATTATATTGTTGATGCCTTCTAAAAATTAAGAATTATATTAAATATATTGGAGACTTTTTTCAAATATTGAGGCTATTTGTTCATTTTGCCTTTGTTAAGCTTCAAAATAGTGGTTTTTCTCTGATGATTAATTTTTTTTCTAATGAACACAAATATCTGATCTACATTGATATCATACTTAGTATTAAATTTCTATTATTTTGCCTGCTGAAAATATCAGTGAATAATGCAGAGAAACAAGTTACAAATGTTAGCTGATTTTTAAAGGGTGACTTAAAAAAAATTTTTTTAATGTAGTATGAATATACACAACAAAACGTTCACCAATTAACAGTTTCAGCATGCACAGTTCAATGACACTGATTACATTTTACCCAATCCCTGTCCCTTTTTTTCTAATTACCACTTTTAATGTGAACTCAGTGCACTCTAAGAAAACTAATCTGTGATTAGTTTTAAGGGTCTGATTAAATCTGTTTCTGGCATTAATAATCAGTATGTTGTTGTTAGGTGCTGTTGTGTAGGTTCTGGCTAATAGCAACACTATACACAATAGAACAAACATGCCCGACCCTGTGCCATTTTCACAATTGTTATGTTAGAGCCCATTTTTGCTGTCACCCCATCTCATTGAGGGGGTCTTCCTCTCTCTTGCTGACTCTCCACTTTACCAAACATGATGTCCTTCTCCAGGATCTGGTCCCTCCTAAATGTCCAAAGTATAACAGACCAAGTCTCACTACCCTCCCTTCTAATGAGCAGTTTGATTGCACTTCTTCCAAGACAGATTTGTTCTTCGAACTGTCCAAAGTATTTTTTTTTCTTTCAATTTGATTGATCATTTCAAAGAACCAACTTCTTGTCCTGTTGATTCTATTGTTTTTCTATTTTCTATTTCATTTGTTTCTGCTCTATGCTTTGTCCAGGCATTAACTCACAGTGCCACACCAGGACTCCAATGTCACGGTCTAATGTCACACTAGAACTCTCTGTCTCTCCCTCCCTCCCTCTTTGTTGTTGTTAAGTGCCATCGAGTCGGTCCCGACCCATAGCGACCCTGAACAGGGTTTCCGAGGGTGTAAATCTTTATGGGAGTAGAAAGCCTGATCTTTCTCTCGCGGAGCAGCTGGTAGTTTCGAAACGCTGACCTTAAGGTTCGCAGCCCGATTCGTAACCACTATGCTACCTGTCACTATACCCGGTAACTTTTAAGGTGTTATTTAATTTCCATGTATTTGATTTTTTTTCCTTGATCTTCCTATTGTTGATTTCTAATTTTATAGAAATGGGGAAGTAAAAGAGCTCAATAGAAAATTTCAAATGGTAGCTTAATAAGACAAAGCTGGGCAAGTTTTATGATGAAATGTTCAAAGACCTAGAGCTGTAAAACACAAAGAGAAGAGCATGCTCAACATTTCTCAAGCTGAAAGAACTGAGGTAAAAAATCAAGTATCAACTTGTAGTACTGAAAGATTCTTTCTGTTGGTGAAATACTGAATGATGCAGAAATCATCAAAAGAAGATGGAAGGAATATACAGAGTCAATGTACCAAAAAGAAAAGGTCGATGTTCAACCATTTCAATAGGTAGAATATGACTAACAGCCAATAGTATTGAAGGAAGAAGTTCAAGGTACACTGAAGGCAAAGAACAAGGCTGTGGGGATTGATGGAAATCTTTCCGCAAACTGATGAAGCACTGGAGACACACACTTTTCTATGCCCAGAAATTTGGAAGACAGCTACCTGGCCAGCTGATTTAAAGAGATCCATATTTGTGCTGTGAAAATCATTGGACAATATCACTAATACCATATGCAAGTAAACTTTTGCTAAAGATAATAATTCAAAAATGGCTAAAACAGGGAACTGCCAGAGTTTCAAGCGTGATTCAGATGAGGGCATGGAACAAAGGATATTGTTGACGTCAAATGGATCTTAACTGAAAGCAGAGAATACCAGAAAGATGCTCACTTGTGTTTTATTGACTATGCCAGGGCTTTCCATTGTGTGGGTTATGAGAAACTGTGGACAACATGGTAGAGAATGAATATTCTGGAAATTTTGTGCTTATGAGGAACCTGTACATAGAACAAGAGGCAGTCACTGAAACAAGAACAAGGGGACACTGAATGGTTCACAGTCAGGAAAGGTGTATGTCAGGATTGTAACCTGTCACCATACTTATTCATTCTGTATGCTGAGCACATAATCTGAGAAGCTGTATTATACAAAGAAGAATGTGACATCAGGATTGGAGGAAGACTCATTAACAACCTTTGTTATTTAGATGACACAACCTTGCTTGCTGAAAGTGAAGAGGACTTAAAATACTAATGAAGATCAAAGACCACAGCCTTTGATAATTGTTGCAACTCAGTGTAACAAAAATCCTCACCATTGGAGCAATAAAAAAAAAAAATGAAAAAAAGACTGAAGTTATAAAAAAGAGTTCATTTTGCTTGGACCCACTATCAACACTCGTGGAAACAGCAGTCAAAAAAAATCAAATGATATATTACATCGGGCAAATCTACTGCAGAAGACCTCCTTAAAATGTTCAAGAGCAAAGATGTCGGATTAAGGGCTCAGGTGTACCTGACTCAAGTGATGGTATTTTCAGAATCCTTACATGCATGTGAAAGTTGGGCAATGAATAAGAAGACCATACAAGAATTGATGCATTTGAATTATGGTGTTGGAGAATATTAAATGTACCATGGACAGCCAGAAGAATAAACAAATGTGTGTTAGAAAAAGTACAGCTAGAATGCTCCTTTGAAATCAAGATGTTCTGATTTTGTGTCTCATACTTTGGACATATTATTGGAAGGCATCAGTCCCTGGAGAAGGACATCATGCTTGGCAAAGTGGAGAGTCAACGAATAAGAAGGAGACTCCCAATGAGGTGGATTGGCACTGTGGCAGCAGCAATGGGCTCAAGCTTAACAACGATTGTGAGGTGGCACTGGACCAGGCAGTGGTTTGTTCTCTTGTGCACAGGGTCACTAGGAGTCATAACTGACTCATGGCTCCAAATGACAACAATTTTATAGCTTTGTGATCTGAGAAAATGCTTTGTAATCCTTCGATGTTTTAAAATTTGTTGAGGTTTGCTTTGAGGCCTAACACATGGTCTGTTCTGGAGAATGTTCCATGTGCAGTGGAAAATAATGTATATTGTACTGTTGTTGGGTTGAATGCTCTATTTCTATGAGGTCAAGTTTGTTGATTGTGCTATTTAGTTCTGTGTCTTTGTTGAGTTTCTAATTCCCTCTTTCATCAAAAATGGTGTATTAAAATATCCTACTGTTATTGTGGAGTTGTCAGTTTCTTTCTTCAGTTCTATTAGAGTTTATGTATTTTGAGGCTCTTTCATTGGGAGCATATATATATATATATATATAAAATGGTTATTTCCTCTTATCCTATTGACCATTTAATCATGATATAATGTCTTTCTTTTTTCCTTATATTGGTTTTTGCCTTAAAGTCAATTTTATCAGAGATTAATATTACCATTGGATTTTTAACCACTACACTACCAAAGCTTGTTTTTGATTGTTTGATATTTTTTCCCCCATCTTTTGATTTCTAGTTTATTTTTGTCTTTTTATATAAGGTGTGTCTCTTGTAGACAACACACTGAAGGATCCTGTTTTCTTATCCATTCTGCTACTGTCTCTTTACTGCATTTAATCCATTTACTTTCAGCATAATTATCAATAAGTATGAATTGATTGCTGTTATTTTGTTGTATGTTTTTTGTGGTGTTGCTAGTCTCTTTGCTCCACATAAATTCATACACAGAATAAATTTTGTTTGTGAGTTTTCATTTTCTTCATTGCTGTATTTTTTTTTGTATTAATTTTCTAAGGTTACCCTATAATATTAATTTTCTTTGTTTAAAAAAGTCTGTTTTATCTCAGAATTTATTTGGCTTCCTCACCACTTAGGAGGTTCTGTATCTACACTATTCCCTCTTTCTGCTCCGTAGTTGTCTTCATTATATATTGATACCTATTTTCAGTCTTGTAGGTTTGTTTTACTTTGAATTCTATGTCTGGGTCGAGTTCTATGTCTGGGTCGATATATGGTAATCTCAGGTTGTCTGTCAGTCCAATGAACACCCTTCAGTATTTTTTTATAAAGTTGGTCTTGTTATTACAAATGCCTTTAATTTCGGTTTATTTGGAAATGTCCTAATTTTGCCATCATGTTTGAGGGACAGCCTTGCTAGGTATGTGATTCTTGGTTGGCTTTTTCTTTCAGAGTTTTGTACATTGCCTTCTTGCCTACATGGTTTCAGCTAAGAAATTAGAATTTAGCCTAATTGGTTCTACTTTGTAGGCAACTTTTCATTTTTCCTGACCTGTTCTCAGGATTCTTTATCTTTGGTTTTAAAAAGTTTAATTTATGGTATGTCTTGGTGATTTTCTTTTGGGCTGTATCCTGCTTGGTGTTGGTAGTGGTTATGTGCCGTGGAGTCAGTTCCGACTCATAGTGAACCTGTACAGGGTTTCCAAGGCTGTAAATCTTAACGGAAGCAGAAAGCCTCATCTTTCTACTGTGGAACAGCTGGTAGTTTCAAACTGCTGAACTTGAGGTTCGCAGCCTGATTTTTAACCACTACACTACCAAAGCTCCTTATCCTGCTGGAATTCTGATCACCAGTATCAGATTCATGGTGTCCCACATAAATCTTAGGCTTTCTTCTGATTTTTTTTTCTGATTATTCCTCTGACATACTTGTTGTTGTTGTTAAGTGCCATCGAGTCGGTTCCGACCCATAGCGACTGACATACTAGTATTGAGATATTTACCTCCAAGGTCACTAATTTGAGCTGCCATTGATTTTAATCTACTCCTTTGTCCTTTCAGTGCATTTTCCATTTCTGATATCTTACTGATTACTCTTCTGGACTTCTCTTTGCAGGTTTTCTTTTCTTCAAAATTTGCATTTATTTTAATGTTTATTCTTGTTGTGTTTCCCTAAATTCTTCTAAAGTTCTTTTCTTTGATCTCCTTGCTTTCCTTGATCCTTTTGTCAATTCTTTGATGGTATCATTCTTTTGAATTCTTTTTCAGTTAGTTCCATTACCTTTACTTCCTCAGAGACATTTCTGGCATTACTTCATGTGAGTTAATATTGTCTGTTGTGTCTGAGACATTGTGGTGTCCTCGTATGTATATTTAATTGATGATTGTATGTTGGTGTGTTCTTAGACTCTCACCACCTGTCTCCTGGAAGCTGTGATTCAATAACGGAATCGTGGACACTGTTTTCTAGTCACCGTGTATGCAGCTCAGTTTATAGTGGGTTTGGCTGGTGTTGCTGCTGTCTATTGTTGATCAGGTGGTAAAAGAACTGGTATTGACTCTTGCCCAGTAGGTGGAGCTGCAGAGGGCACAGTTGTGGTTGAGATGCATGGGCATGGTTGTTGTCTCCTGTTAGATGGCACAAGAGGAGAAAATGCACAGAGAAAAACAAAATAGAGCAAACAAGCAAGCGATAGTAAAAGCAATAAAATAAAGGAGAAAAAAAGAAAGAAAAATGGGCAGCCAAAAAGAAAAAAGAATTTAATAACTAAACTAAGAAAAGAACAGGAAGATAAAGCTGTACAAGAGAAAAAAACTTAAAAGAAGGAAAATGAAAAGTGACTAGAGAGTAGTAAAGAAAAATCAAGAGGAAAAGGAGGAAAGAAGGCAGAAATGAGAAACAAAAGGAAAGAAAAACAATAGAGATTGAAAGCATAAAAATCAAGGTAAGGGAGAGAGAAAGGAGAGGAGAGGATAAACAAAAACAACAAAGCAAAGGAAAAAACCCAAAAAACCAAAAAACCAATGCAGTTGTTGGAGCTAGAGAGGAGAAAACACCAAGGAATTCATGAGGTGGCTGGAGGAAGGGTGCAGTGGCTGAGTTCCCAGCCCTACATAGACTTCTGTAGATCTGGGTGTTGTCTGTGTTCAGGGCATTCAATCTGTTGGAGTTCACAGAGGCCCTCAGGTTGCTATGTCTGTCAGAACCAAAGGGCAAGGGAAGGGGGGGTGGGGGGGTGGGCAGGGTGACTGGTTATGAAGGTTCCTGCTAGTCTAATTCTGACTTGGAGGCTCTGTGGGTTCTGTAGATCTGATGCAGAACCCTCCTGAATCTAAATGCCAAGGTGACACAGTGGGCACCCAGCTCACACTGGCTCAAACCGGACAGCTCCGAACTCCCAGAGAGCAGGGTCTGTTCTGGAGGTAGAGGAGGGTAGGTAGGGGCCACCCTCACCTCTGTTATCCAGGGAGTGTGGGGAACAAGAAGAAATCCCACCTTTTCTGTCGCTTCTGTGAATCTGTGCCATTAGGCCACCTGTCTGTCTCTCCAAAGCTGCTTGCCAAAGTTCTAGGTGGTCAGACTGTGTCTGGCTGGCTACGCATTCACCTTTCACCACCCCACTCAGCTTCTCATCCCCCTAGGTACTCAGTCCTTCTCTAACTTTCCCCTGGACCTCACAGTTCCAGGATTGTCCTTTGTGTCTGTTTCATTATGTCTCCTGTGTCTTTGTTGTTGAGGGTCTCTGTAGCATGTCTGAATAGTCTACTATTTTCCCAGCTTTAATACAATCCATGGTAATTTCAAGATTCTTCGCCAACACCATAATCCAGAAGAATCAATTCTTCTACAGTCTGAATCACTGTCCAGCTTTCACATGGATATGAAGCAATTGAAAATATCTACTTAGGGTCAGGCGCACCTTAGTCCTCAAAGTGACACCTTTGTTCTTTAACACTTTACAGAGATCTTTTGCAGATTTGCCCACTTCAGTACAGTATTTGGTTTCCTGATTGCTGCGTCTATCAGTGTTGATTGTGGATCCAGCCAAAATGAAGTTTTGACTTCTGTCTTTTCTCCATCTCTCATGATGTTATTTGTTGGTGCTGTTGTAAGGATTTGTTTCTTTACATTGAGGTTTAATCCATACTGAAAGCTGTAGTCTTCGATCTTCACTTCCAGCAAGCAAGGTTGTGTCATCTGTATTGTTGTTGTTGTTAAGTACCATGGAGTCGGTTCCAGCTCATAGTGACCCTGCACAGGGTTTTCAAGGCTGTAAATTTTTACTGGAGCAGAAAGCCTCATCTTTTTCCCACGGAATGGCTGGTAGTTTCAAACTGCCAACCTTGAGGTTAGCAGCCCGATTGGTAACCACTACGCTACCAGATCTCCTTGAAGGTTGCATTGTTGTTGTTATTAAGTGCTATTGAGCCGATTCCGACCCATAGCGACCCTGCACAGGGTTTCCGAGGCTGTAAATCTTTATGGGAGCAGAAAGCCTCATCTTTCTCCCGTGGAACAGCTGATAATTTCGAACTGCTGACCTTGAGGTCGCAGCCCGAAGGCAAAAAATCCAGACCGCCTCAGGGTGTGAGAGCCTGATTGATTGTTAAACTGTAATGTGCATCACATGTTCTTGTTAAAAATGCAAAGTTGAGGGCCCCATTCTGGTGTGGGTCCCAAGAACATAAGTTTTATAAGGGGTGTGGGCTGCTTGGTGTGCAGGAATTCAAAGGAACCCACTTCAAGAAACACTGTCCTGTGAAGGACCAATCTGTGACACCTGTTTTAGACTTCTTGGGAGGGTTTCCTTTGGGAGTCAGCATTGTGTTACAGAAGGCATTAATAGAGCGTGGCTACTCCTTTTTGTGGCATCAGTAGTTCTGAAAGCCCTGCTGTGGTTCTCGCTTCACTCCTCTGACTCCCTTCCCGCATTATCACGGTGTTCTCTCTGTGTCTCTTTCATCACCTTCTAAATTCCTTGTCCTCCCTAAACACCCCCGCTTGTCTTCATCCAGAGTTGATTCAATAAATAACGTCACCATCTCTGAAATGGAAATAGGAAAAATCACATCGTTTTTCGCCTTGTTATTCTCTGTAGAAAATAAGAATATTTTCATTCATATTTGTTCAAGGACTAATAAAGAACATGAGATGTTTAAGGGATGAAAGCCAGTGTTCTAATGTTGCTGGGGCCCTGGTGGCACAGTGGCTAAGCACTCAACTTTAAACTGAAACATGGGCATTTGAACCCAGCAGCTACTCTACAGTAGACAGATGTGGCAGTCTGCTTCCATTAGGATCCAACTGTGGAAACCCTCTGGGGCAGGTCTACTCTGCACTGTAGGGTCTGAATCAGCACCAGATTTCGATTATAATGTTGTTTCCATGAAATCCTATGACTGACCTAACTATTGGAATTTTTGAGTTGTTGGAATTTTAAAAAACTATTTGCTCTGAAAATGAATTTACTTCTATTTTCCTAAAGAAAATAAGAGTAAACAGTCCTACAAGAGAAGGGGAAAAGATTGATTTTTCTTAAAAACAAAAGAAAGTAACAGATGTCTCTAGTCAACTGTCCAAGGAAGAAACTATTCCATGAGTGATTGAATTTAGAGACTGTCTCATCAGTGTCTCTTATTTATTCCTGTGCCTTAAAAAAATAACAATAAAAAAGAATTACAAACAGAAGCTCCTCATTGGATAGTAAGTCCAAATTATTATTCACTCCCTGTTACGTGGCTCCAATATTGAATTTCCATTTATAAGTTTTAAATGACCTTATGCATAAAAGTGATTCTAGGTGTGTTAAGGACTCCTGGTGTGGTGCTGTAGGATCAGCACTGGACTTCAAACCACAAGGTTGGCAGTTCAAACCCACCAGCTGCTCCTTGGAAGTTCTATACAGGGTCACTATGAGTTGGAACCTACTTAACAACACTTAACATGTGTGTTAAAGAGGAATGAAAATGTTAATTATTCAACTTTTTGAAGTGTGTGATGCAAGAGCTTTCTTTGGAGTTGCTTTTTTTTCTTCCTTGCATCATTTCTTGGATTCACAAAGTAGCGGTTGTGCTAGTTGGGGCAAGTGGATGGGAAACCAGTGCCTGACCTTATGGCCTTGTGCAGGGACAACCCACTGACTTCATGGAACCCAACTTGTAAACAATTGACCTAGATGCACTCTAGATACGGCTTTAACTCTCTAAAATTCTGATATTTTTATTTTTTAAAGATCTGGCGAGGAAGGATATTACCCTGAACTTACAGAATTTTGTGAAAAGCGTCTTACAGGCTTAGCTCCTCAAAGTAGGGCCTTGAGGAAAGATAAGCCTGCAGCAACAGCATCCAGTTTTACAGCAGAAGAATGGGAACAAATTGATGGTGATATAAAGGTAATGCCAATTTTTAATAGTGCAGTGAGATTGTCTATTCATCTACTTCATTTTTCTGAAGTCCTAGGCTTCTTGTCTGTCAATAAAAGACCTTTAATCGTAACTAAACCCATTGCCAGTGAGTCAGTTCTGACTCATGACCCTATAGGATAGAGTAGAACAGCCCCATTATGATTTCTGAGGCTGTAAATCTTTATGGACACAAATTACATCTTTCCCTCCTGGAGTAGCTGGTGGGTTTGCAGCCGAGCACTTAACCATTGCACCATCAGAACTCCCTTTACTGGTAATTATTAAAGTTATATTCGTTGATTTTGTACCCAGGAGAATATTATGAATGCCTCTGTGTGCAAATTTTAAATAATACTACATCCTATGAAAAACTAACTTAAATGTCTTCTATAAATAGTGTGTCTACAGTTTTTTTGCAGCCCCCTTAGTTATTTCCTCAGAATGATTAGAATTCAAATTGCTCAAAGGGCTTGAACATTTTTTTAAAGTTTCAAATAGGGTTTGAAACATTTCTGAGTTCTCCAGAGAACTTGTACCTTTGTACCCTCCCACCAGCAGGATCCATAATGAGTCTCAATTCCTGATACTGGTCATTTGTGTCCTGTCCTTTATTTTCCTGATCAGTCTGCCTCAAGGTTTCGCTTACTGATCTTTTCTAAGAATCAGCTTTTGTTTCCATCACTTTTCTCTATGGCTTTCTTGGTTTTGATTCCACTGTTTTCTACTTTTGTTTTTATTGTTGCCTTACTTATACTTACTCTGGACATAATTTGCTCATCTTTTTCTGGGTTTTTAGGATGGAAGCATCTAACATTGAATTGAAACCTATCTAATGTTAGCAATTGTTAAGTGCCGTCAAGTCGGTGCCCACCCATAGCGACCCTGTATAGGGTTTCCAAGGAGCAGCTGGTGAGCTTGAACCACTGACCTTGAAGTTTAAACTGACTTTGCAGTCTAGTGCATTAGTCCACAGTGAGTGCCATTTCCCTCAATGCACTACTGTAGTTGTGTCTTTTTAGATATGTCATGTCATGCTTTCATTTACATGTAGTTAAAAATATTTTCTAATTTTGCTTGCAATTTCTTTTTTGGGTTATTTAAAAAGTATATTATGAAATATTCAAATGTTTAGGGATTTTCCAGATATCTTTGCTATTCATTTCAACTTCAGTGTCATTGTAATCAGAAAATACTTTGTCTAATTTCATTTCTTTAAAATGGTTTGAGCTTCTTTTATGGCTCGGTGAGTACTCCAATTTGGTGAGTGTTCTGTTTGCACTTGAAAATTATGCCCATTCAGGATGTTGTTGGGCAGAGTACTTTTTTAAACTGACTCTGGAGAAACAAATTTTTGCTGTACTTTGATTTTTTTAAGCATCTTTTTCTTGGGGATGTAGGGAAGCACGTGTAGTATATTTAAAAATAATTATGAAGGACCAGGAGGCTTGAAAAAGTTCACGGAAAAATGGGATTAAAAAATAATGGAATTTTTCCATGAACTTTTTGAAGCCCCATCATACATGTATTCTCTAACTCAGAATGCTGTTTTGTTTTGTTTTAAGACTTTTAGATTTCTTATTTTACTATTAAAAAAACAAAACACTTTACTGTGACTTGACGAAACTGAACCGCAGATCAGTTTTCTGTTTAACAATTCATCCAGATTTAGTTTGTCACTGATTACAATCCCCATAATATAACATCACTGATCCCACTTCCTCCCTGTGTTTCTAATTTCTATTCTTCCTTCTTTCCTAATTCTTCTGAACTTTGCCCTTGGGGTAAATGCTGCCTTTTTCATCTCAAATGGTGGATTATTCTAAGGTGTGTATACCACACTACTGTTATTATTCCCCTTCTAGACCTGTCTTGGTTTGGCTAGAAATTGACTCATGGAGGTGAATTCATTTGCAGACCCGAAGAGGGACGAAGGTCCATAGTCCTGGGGGTTCTCCTAGTCTCTCACTAGTAGTTGTGGTCTTTATGATTTTGCATTTTTGGTCCCTATTTTCTCCCACTTTATACACTGCCTTCTAATATGATCCCTTTCAGAACAGTTCGTAATGGTAGCCAGGTACCATCCAGTACCGCTGGTCAAAGTCTTGAAGACTGATGTCCCGCCTTTGCTTTCCTTCAATCTTTTCTTTCCTCCAAATAGAGAGGACCCAATAATTGACCTTAGATGGCTGTTTATGAGCTTTTAAGACCCCAGTCACTAGCACCAAAATAGGATGTAAAACAGTGTCTTTGTAGACTGTGTTACGCCAATTGGCCATGGTGTTCCCTGATACTGTTGAATGATGATGCATGGAGGAGATTGTAGTCATTACAATGATACAAAATATGATAGGATGAGTGCAAATTTGGTGTTCTCCCATGTAACATATCACTCAGTGCACAACAAAAGCTTAAAAAACTAAAAAACTCATGACTCCAGAAATCTGTAGCCATTGCAATGAATCCTTCTCCTAACACCAAACTGCAAAAATAATGGCACCAAGCTGTGCCCACAGGCAGGCTTCTTTCTGCCGGTGCAGTGTTACTCAGCTCTTCCAGGGCTGCTGATATATGCTCACAGGACGTACCACTCCACCAGCAGCCTCAGCCTGAAGGCACTGGAGTCTAGCTCTGTGGGTCAGCAAACCTAGTTCTCCCAGTTCAGTGCCTGGAGTCATCCCACTCTGTAGTAAGCCTCCTGCCCAAAGTCACTAACTTTACTTGCTCTGTGGGCTGGGAAGCCCATTGCTCTCTTGTGCTCCGGCTCTTGGTTCTGTTGTAGCTGCTCCTCTTCCACTCCTCCCGTGTCACAGTTTTCTGTCCAATTCAAGGAGATTCCGTGTGCAGGGATTTCAGAGCACAAAGGACATACCCCACCTCCAGCTCTACTTCCTGTGGCAGTGAGATTCCCTCTCCTGCTCCTGAGATGGTTCATGTTATACCCATACTCGAGTTCCAGGTTCTTCCAGTCACAATGAACTCTGTTAACAATCACTCACAACTGAATCATATTATCCTATCAGCATCTTCTCCCACCTTTTCTTACCAGCCCTGTCAGGAAAAATTGTTTGGTAGGAGTTAGAAAGGCAAGGCTAGAAGAGACTTATTAAATAATTTTACACACCATTTGGTCTTATTTTTAAGGTGTAAACGCCTGAAATCTAGTTGCAGAGCCTGATTTGCCCCCATTGTGTGTACTTTCTCTGTCACTTCTTGAGTTAATTTCCTTCTCACTTCCCTTTTTTCACACTTTTTTTTCTTGCCACTTCTTCATTCCCTGTTCTTTCTTATTTCCTTGCTCTTCTCTTCCTTTATTGTTTTTCCTCCCTCATGTCTCCTTTTCATCCTTGCTACCTCCTTTATGGATAGGACAGATTGTATAGTTATTGCTGTATCCCAGGGCCTATACGAGTATGTGACCAATATTAGGCCTTCAATATATCTTTGCTGAGTAAATAATAGAATTTCATAGATGATAAAGAAATCCCTTTTGTTTACAGAATCTATTCATTTTCTTCATCAGCCCTTGTGAGAATTCAGTTCAGTAAAAAAATTTGAAAACCTACTATGTGCCAGATAGTGCATTAGGTTCTTGGATCACAAATATGAGCTAAGACACAGGCCCCACCCTCAAGAAGCTTTCAGTACATTGAGAGAGACAACCAGTAAATAGGTGATTTTTAAGTGTTTCTGATCATGCATATAGAAGAAACACTGTTAGCCCAGCTGAGGAGGTTCAGGGAAAACTTGTTGGAAGAGATGATGAATAAGATCTAGCAAAATAAATAAATAAAAGTAGGAAGAACATTCCAGATAGAATAAGATGATAAATTATCACCTAAAAAATTGACCCAGTGGAAACTATGATGATGTTTGGCCCTTTCTCATGATGCTTGATTAAAGGGAGTCCCTTGGTCAAGACCACTTGACTTTACAAACCCACCCCATATAGTCCATTATGTTAAAATTTTGAGGCATATACAATAATCTGTAATAGCAATGGGCGCTACTCTATGACACCCATCAAAACATTATTATTATTACTAGATTATGCTAAAGATGTTTTAGTATCTGGATGTGCTTCTTTAATGTTTTTATGCATAAAAAGGTTGTTGTTAAGTGCCCTGAGTCGGTTCTGACTCATAGTGATACTGTTTAAGGTTTCTGTGACTTTAAATCTTTGAGGGAGCAGAAAGCTTCATGTTTCTCCCACAGGCTCGAACTGCACACCTTTGTTTTTTGCAGTCCAGTGCTTCTCGTATGGAGCCACCATGCTCCCCATAGAAATGTAATGTATACTATATACTAAGATGAACATTTGGCCAGCTGATTGATGTTAGATACAAACTGTACCTAACTGTTCTAATTTACATACAAATTTAACTTAAATACACATATAGGAAAGAAATGTATTCATGATCCTGGGACTATGTGTATTCCAAACTGTGTATTTTTCTTCTCTCCCTTGTTCATAGAGTTGGGTATCCGAAATCAAAAAGGAAGAAAATAAAATACACATCTATGAAACTGAAACATTTCCAGCCATGGAAGAGAATTTGCCTCCAGTTCGTGGTTCAAACAGTTGTCTTCCTGTTGGCAAGGTAGGGCTTTCTGAGGGTAGGGTAACAGTGGTAGGGGAAGGATCATGAGCTCTTTCTGTTTAATCACAGTAGCCATTTAAGGATTGCATCTTGGGTTTTACTGCCTTTCCTTATTATTTCTTTGCCTGTCCTGACTTTTCTTCTCTGACCCAGATATTACAGAACCTGATTTGTACCTCCTTGCACTGGGGGTCTCTGGGCTTTTACTTGGTTCTTTCATTCTATTCTCTCTGTCCTTTTTTTCTTTTATGCCTATCATTTTGATAGGATAGCTAACTTAGTCTCTTCTTTCTGTATACACTCATTCTTGTTATTCTAATTCTCATCTCTTCTTGAAATGCTTGATTTCACTTTTAAAACCCATAGCCCAGGTCTGGTAAAAGGAGATGGGGATAAGATTCTTATGATTCAATAGTAAGTAATTGTTATCATGACTAATTGCGACTGTCACAAATGTAAAAGTAGAAGTTTTGTAACAAAAAGGGAGAAGTCGTTAACCTTACAGTCCAGGACCAGCAAGGGAGAAGAGCATGAGCAGAATGTGGGACCCTATCCAGAGAAGCAGCGACACCAGAGATGGAGGCAGAGATGGGGACATGGAGAGAGGGAGCAGCTGAGGACTCTAGATTCATGGGAAGAGAGAGGCTGTGTGCTGACGGACAGGAGGCTGGCTTACAGAATGTGCCCTTTGGTTGTTTAAATGATTTATATATTCCTGAGTGTTTTTATGTACATCCTCCCCCCAACCCCCAAAACAGAAACAAACAAAAAACAGAGGGAATAGAAGCAAATACTGTTGAATGAAGATGCATGGAGAAAATTGTAATCAGTGCAATGAAATGATGAGTGTAAAGCTGATGTTCTCCCATGTAAACTATCACTCAATTCACAATAACAAAAACAAACAAACAAAAAATCAGATTTTCTAAAACAGAGATAAAGTTAATTTTAAAGTAAGCCTCATAAGTTAATTTCTAAAACTTGTCAGCTGTGATCTTATTTACACTGATATTTTTAAATTGATAATTATGTTTTATCTATTGTGAATTTGATACAAACTCATAAGAAAAGAGATGTGCTCTCTATGACATATTTTTAGAGATCTAAAAGATGGCTATGTTTTTCTGAGTTTAAAAATAAAATTGTTTATTGATCCCCCAAAAAAACAAAATACAAAAAAATCCCCATAGACTTTCATGACGCTACACTCTGATAATTTACCTTCCTGATTCTCACTTTCCATTACCTAGAATTATTCTGGTAACTAAGGTTTAAAGGAATATGGTAAAGTTGTCACCATCTGTTACAAATAAAGGTATATTTATTGACTGCCCACCACGTGCTGAGTCTGTGCCCTGGAGAGAGAACAATGAATAAGACTTGGTGCCTACTCTCAAAGGGTTTTTTGTCTAGTGGAGTAGACAGACCAGTAGTACAGCAATTCTCAGTGTTATGTGTGAGTCCCTGAATTCCCAGGATCCTTTCAGCGGGTGTCTGAGAGTTACAGCTATTTTAATAATACTAATACTTTGCTTTTTTTCACTATATTGACATATGCACTGAGAGTGTAAAAGTGATGGTAGAAAAACTGCTGATGCCTCAGCACAAGTCCAGGCAGTGGCACTACTGTCACTCACTGCCTTCTCCCCTGCTATCCATTTATAGATGAGCTCTGGGAGCGTAGTGGTTACAAATCGGGCTACTAACCTCAAAGTCAGCAGTTCAAAAGTACCAGCTGTTCCGTGGAAGAAAGATGCTCCTGTAAAGATTTACAGCCTTGAAAATCCTGTGCAGGGACTCTATGAGTCGGAACCGACTCCACGGTACTTAACAACAACAGCAACATCCATTTATAAGGACTTCTAGTGTGGCGCTGTAGGATCAGCACTGGACTAGGAACCACAAGGTCAGCAGGTCAAACCCATCAGCTGCTCCTCGGAAACCCTATGCAGGGTCGCTATGAGTGGGAGCCGACTCAATAGCACTTAACAACAACAGCAAATACCTTCCTACGGAGCCCTGGGAGCATAGTGGGTTACATGTTAGGTTGCTAACCACTAATCCAGCAGTTTGAATCCACCAGCTACTCCACAGTAGAGATGAGGCTTTCTGTTCCTGTAAAGATTTACAGCCTCCGAAACCCTATATGCAGTCTTGGTGTGGCGCCATAGGATAAACACTTGACTGCTACCCAGAAGTTGGCATTTCAAACCCACCAGCAGCTCCTTGGAAATCCTATACAGCATTGCTATGAATCAGAATCACCTCGACGGCATTAAACAATAAAACCAGTTAGAACCAACTCAACAGCACATAACCACCACTGTACATTCATGTTGTTAAGTGCCTTCAAGTCGGTTCCGACATATTAGCGATCCTGTAATAGGGTTTCTGAGGAGCAGCTGGTGAATTTGAACCACTGACCTTGTGGTCTAAAACTGACCTTGTGGTCCAGTGCATTATCCTGCAGCGCCACAAGAAAAAACGAAAAACAGTTTCACTTTAAGGGTGTCCTTGATGAAACAGTAGCATTTACTCATTTTCTTTCATATTAAACATCAAAAACACATTTTAAAATATTCTGTTTGACAAATTCAAAACTACTTTATTGCATTGTTGTTAAGTGCCACTGAGTCTGTTCCAACCCTCTTCAACCATGTATAGGGTTTTTGAGGAGCAGCTGATGGGTTTAGACTCCTACCTTGCAGTTCGTAGTCCTAATCCTACAGTGCTGCACCAATATTCAATGTGATTGCATGGTGGTAGAAAATATGGTAGGTATCTTGAGTAAAAGCGCTGTGTGATTGATTTGTGACCTAAAGTAGCTGCTTTTTTCCCTTGGAATGTTGGGGTTATTTTCTAGAAAGAATGACTGGTAGACCAAAGCCAAAACTGCTGAGGAGTAGACTCTGACAACCCCATAGGATCAAACACCCGACCTTTCAGATCGTAACTGAGTGCTTTCACCACAGTGCCACAAGGACTGCTGACTGACAGGCTATGACTATTCAGATGTGGGTTTTTAAATTTTCAAGAAGATGTGGCATGTCCCTTCAGAGAAAACAGTTGACAGTATTTGATGCCAGTGATAAAATCAGAGCTTTCAAGTGCAAATTAGGCTGTTTGAGATTCATATGTGGCTCTCAAATACCTGTTTGTGCAAAAATTATACCTTTTAAGACGGATTTTTAAAGACTTTTTTGATTAGCTCTGTAGAGATATTAACAAATATAATTTTAAAAATATATCATATAATGAAATATGCCAACATATGGAAGATCTGCTTAACTCAGAATGACCAATATGTGACCCTACAGAATTGTATATGTGGAAAAAGACCCATTCAAATTTCAAAACAGACTAGTGGATTTTCATGTACAAACAGTTTATTGACATGGTTTCAGAGTCTGCATTTCTACATTATAATTGATCTTTAAGAAACTACCACTTGTTGATTGTAGGTACAGTTTCAAAGGAGACGATCTATAATTATCCAAAAATATTATTAAAGTACTCCCCCTTTCTAACCACAAATCTATCTGTGTGAGACTGGTTTTCCTCATATGCTGCTCAGCAAATCCAATGCCAAAGAAGCTGTAAGAACCCAGCTGTCTCCTATTAAGCTGCACATTAAAGAAATTTGCAAAAATGTAGAGAAGTGCCGTTCTTATCATTATTTTTCAATAGTTATTTTCATAAAAATATGTTCTGTATACTGACATACAATGAGCTTTTCACTGTTACTTTTAAATTAAGAAATAAACTATTTAACATTTTCTCAGCCTTGCTTTCTAGTATCGTATATATTGATAGATATCATCTACCTAGGCAAAGCTCATTGGTGTTCTGAGTAATTTTCAAGAGCGAAAAGTGCTTAATACCCAAACATTTGATTTCCCCTATTGTTCTAGAGGAAAAAAGACCCAGAACTTAAATATAGTCAATGTTGTTGTTAAGTACCGTCAAGTCAATTCCAACTCAGTGAGATTACATAGGGTTTCTGAGGAGCAGCTGGTAGATTTGAACCACCAATCTTGCAGTTAGCAGTCTAGTGCTTATCCTCCAGTGCCACACAGAGAACCTTTAATTAAGCCTTAAAAAGGACAAAGACAATCATCTGGATAAGGAAAATCATCAACATTAGGCCAAAATGGATTCCAATGAATTCACATCCGTGGCGCAAATTATAGAAAACAAAGAAAATAGTTACAAAATCATGACTGGAAGCAGATCAGTTCATCACTGTCGTAGGTGGGACTACAGAAACTAGGAATGGACCATGATTGGAATGTGTATACAATTGCAGATTTTAGAAGTTTATAGGATTGGTTCTGGGGCTTTGACCACCTGGCTCCATGGTAGAGTGTGTCTCAGGACCATACAGATCTGAGTCACAGCTGCCAGGATCCCAACTTTTAGATGACATGCAGCTAGGGTTGGTAAAGCACTAAGGACCTATCCAAGCAGGTTCCTTGATTCTCAGTGCAAACTGTGGGGCCAGCCAGTCTCTTCCTGGATTGGCTTGGACGTTGTAATCTGCTTTCAAACACATTCTGCCTCAGGACAAAATTGCCACATTGCTGTTAATGGTCAGAAAGAACTCAAATAGCCTCTGCATTAACGCCCAGACTCAAAATGGAATTAGGGCTCTCACTTTAAACTAAGGCCTTCCACAAAGAAGTGCTTTAGCATTTAAACTCTGATACAAGTGTATTATCTAGTATGCTGTGGATTGTTGTTGTTAAATGCTGTCAAATTGGTTCTGACCCATAGAGACCCTGTGTAGGGTTTCCAAGGAGCAGCTGCTGGGTTTGAACTGCCAACCTTGTGGCTCACAGTCCAGTGCTGATCCTACAGGAATATGTAGAAGTGGTGTCTGTCCCATCTTCTGAAGTCAGAGAGCATTGCCTTCTTTTATATCATAAAAATGTTCCCAGACTCAGTTTCCCAAACCTGAAAAGTGGGGACTCATTGGGTCTGCTACCCATCATTGGGTTAAGAGTAACCCCAGAGTGGGTGGTTGAGCAGTAGTAAGATACTATCACTTGTAACAAGTAAGGAGACAGGGAGATCGTTCTCAAAAGGCTGTCTCTCCAAACAAAGAATTCAGGAAGTTTTTAAGCTTTAGGGGAATAAGGAAAATTATGCATATTCATAACATTTATTTGAAATAGTATGTATTATTATTCAAGAAGGGATAGGTTAAGACTTGACCTATAAGTCTCTGTCATACCCCTCAATTCTAAAGTGGGTCTGAGTTGCTCTAATGACATAGTTTCAGTAGACTTTTGTTCCTGGCTTGAGGGAACAAGGTGGTCCTTACGACACATGTTCTCTAATCAGATTGGAACTGGCTCAGGGGGCCCTGGCTTGAAGAGTATCTGTAACAGGGAAATTAACAGCTGTTTTATGGTCACTGTGCCTGGTATCAGTTTGGAAGGTCTCTTTTCATGGAGAAACGCCAGTGGACCTCCTCTACTGCAAGAAACAGGCTTTTGTGAATCTTTTTTCTTTACGTATAATTTTCTTATAAGGCTTAACTCAAAGCACCCTTAAGTCTGGGTAGGAGTTTTTCAGGTAGGAATTGGCTTTAAAAGTATAGTATCATACATTATGTTTTACTGCATGCACCTGGGTCTGTGTCTTGAGTCCATGTATTGATGCACATTCTTAAGAGAGATAGTTCTTGGTCACAGACAGGTATTTGAAAACCACACAGGAATATTAAGTACTCTCGGTTTCTAATTAATGCCCCTTTTAAACCGTGCTGTCTAATAACCACTTGTCTGTCAGTTTGTCGTACTGGGGTGGCTTGTGTTTTGCTGTGATGCTGGAAGCTATGCCATCGGTATTTTAATTACAAGCTGGGTTACCCTGGTAGACAAGTTTCAGCTGTGCTTTACTGATTATTTGAAGGCTTTTGACTGTGGATCATGACAAGCAATGGGTACTCTTAATTATGCTCATGAGAAACCTATACATAGATCAAGAGGCAGTCACTCAAACAGAACAAAGAGACACTTACATGGTGGTGGTTATGTGCCCTGGAGTTGATTCCGACTCATAGCAAACCTGCATAGGGTTTTGGGGGGGGGTAAATCTTTACAGGAGCAGAAAGCCTCATCTTTCTCCCGCAGAACAGCTGGTAGTTTCAAACTGCTGACCTTGAGGTTAGCAGCCCAACTCATAACCACTACATTCCTGGAGCTCCTAAAGGGACACTGGATGGTTTAAAATCAGGAAAGGTGTGTGCTAGGATTGTATTCTTTTACCATACTTATTCAACCTGTATGCTGAGCAAATAATACGAGAAGCTGGGTTCTATGAAGAAAAACATGGCATCAGGATTAGAGGAAGACTCATTAACAACCTGTGATATGCAGATGATACAACTTTGCTTGCTAAAAGCTGAGAGGACTTAAAATACTTATTAATGATGATCACAGACTACAGCCTTCAGTATGAATTGCACGTCTATGTAAAGAAAACAAAAATCCTCACACCTGGACGAATAAATGACATCATGATAAATGGAGAAAAGATTGAAGTTGTCAAAGATTCATTTTGTTTGGATTCACTATCTACACTTATGGGAGCAGCAGTGAAGAAATCAAATGACATATTGCATTAGGTAAATCTGCTGCAAAAGTCCTTTTTAAAGTGTTCAAGAGCAAAAATGTCAGTTTGAGGTCTAAGGGTTACCTGACTCAAGCCATGGTATTTTCAATAACCTCACATACATGTGAAAGTTGGACACTGAATAAAGAAGACATAGAAGAATTGGTGCATTTGAGTTATGGTGTGGGAGAAGATGATTAAAAGTACCACGGGCTGCCAAAAGAACAAACCAATCTGGATAGTAAGAAGAATGCTCCTTAGAAGCCAGGATGTGAGACTTCTCTCATACTTCGGACATATTATCAGGAGAGACCAGTCCCTGGAGAAGGACATCATGCTTCATAATGTGGAAGGTCAGCAAAAAAAAATATCTCCAATGAAGTAGATTGGCAGCAGCAATGGGCTTAACTCTAGCGACAGTTGTGAGAATAGTGCAGGCCCAGGCAGTGTTTTGAACTGTTGTCCTTCGAGCCGCTATGAGCCGGCGCTTACTTGACGGCACTTAATAACAACAAGGAATATCAATTTAGTATTGAGAACATTGTTGTTATGAGAAGGAAAATAAGTTGAGGTACCAAATGGTCTTTACCTAGCCTATAAGGACTGAATGGTACTCCGTGCAGTTTATAGTTCTTAGTATGTTATCTGTTAGCAGCCATAAATAGGATAATAATGAAGACTTGTGATGGTTTAAAATATCAGTACCTATTTTATTTTGTTATAAATTCTGTTGGCTTTCAGTTTTTTCAGATTATATAGTTTTGTAAAATTAACATTCCTTTGTCTTTAGTACTTTTCTAGCATATTGTTTTATTTGCTCTGGGAGATTAAATACTTGTGAAAATAATGTTGATTGTTACCCAGCACATCTTCCCTCCTGTTCCTTTCTGTGGCGGAACCTGTTCCTCATCCTTGGCAGCAGGCATGGGACATAATTTGTGCCATTTAATAACATCAAGCTAGTGCTTGACCAGAGATGGCCACATGATCTAACCTAGCCAATCAGAAACCTTTTCTTTGGGCTTTCTCTAACTGTAACGTTGTAATTCCAGAACTGTCTGGCCATGTTTCCTACTACAGTGAAACCTGTAAAAGCCAGAACTCCATGGGACTACTTTGTTTTTCTGGGTTTCACAGTGTTTTCTGACTCCGACAGGGTGCAATCTTACCACTTTTGTATCATTCTCAATTAATGGAAAATATTTGAGGTTTTCTTCTCTGATAGATTTCTACCATACACAATCTCTGGCTTCTGCATGAATAAAGCCTACTGTACAGAGAAAATGAAGTCAGCAGATAAAAGCAGAGTCTGAGGATAGGGGAAGAGAAAAAGAGAGGTTGGGATCTGGGGAAAGGTAGGGACAAAGATCATGAGTCCCTTTTTCCTGTGATAGCTCCATCCTTTCACCTTGTCTGCATAAACCTACAATTTATTCTTTTTCAATAGAATTAGGCCTAGTTAGGTTATTGCCATTGGAAACAAACAACCCTAATACATCATCAAAGTGGTTATTCTTTTTTCGGTTATTTCTCTAATGCCTACGTTTTAAAAAAGAATGATAGTTCAGAATCTTTTTAATGTGGTAAGAAAGTCAGTGATATCCATCTCACACATATGAAGTTATTTTATATATTAATTAGTAAAAATCCTCTTTATGTCCTTGAAGGCATGTCGATTTTTCTTAGAATTAACTACAAATTTAAAACCTTTAATCTGTACATTATTATGATAATTGTAATACTGGAATTATGATAACTTCAAAGAAGCCTGTTTTTCTTACTCGTTCAATTGCTATACCTTAATCTAATGCACTGTAGTCACATTAGCCTGCTAATTATCTTAGATAAAATATATATCATAATATATGTTTGTTTTTTTCTTTCAGGATAAGTGTTCTAAAAATAAACCAGCTAAAAAGAAAATTCCAAGGGATTATGCAGAATGGGATAAGTATGTTTTGTATTTCTTTATGTAAAATTTTTCACTGAGAAATTTTCTACCATAAACTACTACAATAACTTCTTAAATAAGTTTCTTAAGACTTTCAAGAATACAAGGTTATTTCTGAATAATACTAGAAGTATCTAGTCTAAGCATTTTTTTTTTCATTAAATCAAAAGCTACTGCATCCTTTTGTTTATAAGCCCAGTGGAAAAAACAAAATTATTTTACCTATCCAAAGTAAAAACGAACAAGACATTAAAAATAGAGACAGATCACAATTATAATTACAGAGTTCTAAGCAGTATAGACTATTTAAAGTTTATTTTTTATTGTTTGTTCAGCATTTGCACAGCAGATCGTATTGCACAATTTCTACGCATACAGTCCAGTGACGCGGATTACATTCTTTGACTTGTGTAACCACTCTTGCTCTTCTTTTCCGAATTGTTCCTCTCCGGTATCATAAACTCACTCACCCATAAGTTTCCGACTTAATTACTGTTGTCAATTGTATATCATATAGATAGTACTGAAAAGAGCATATTGTTCAAAGCAGACATTCTTTACTAAGTAAACCAAGCTAGTATATGGTTTGCAGTCCTAGTATGGTGCTGTAGGATAAGCACTGGATCTCAGGGTTGATTTGAACTTCATGGTCGGTAGTTCAAACTTTCCAGCTACTCCTCAGAAACCCTCTATGGTGTCACTATATGTCAGCCAGAAACAACTTGACAGTGCTTAATAACAACAATTTATTTGGTTTAAAGAAGACTTCAGGGGACAGTTTTAGTTTAAGATTTAACACTTATCTCAGGGTTTTATATATACGTATGTATGTCAAGGAGCTCTGGTAGCGTAGTGGTTATGAATCGGGCTGTGAACCGCAAGGTCAGCAGTTCGAAACTACCAGCGGTTCTGCGTGAGAAAGATGAGGTGTTCTGCTCCCGTAAAGATGTACAGCCTCGGAAACCCTGTGCAGGGTCGCTATGAGTCGGAACCGACTCCACGGCACTTAACAACAACAACATATGTATATATACACACACACATGCATCATTTCAGGGGTTCCTTAACTGCTCATAAAAGTCTAGATTACATAAGAATTTGAACTTCGTTTACTCATTTCATCAGAAATCTTCTATAGACGCTTTGTAGATCTGGTTAATTTTTAAGTCTTACTTTATTGCATGTTTTCTAAGAAAAAATAGGAGTGACTTATAATACAAACTTGTTTGCATTTTTTAGGTGTTCAGAGGTACAGGGATATAAATATAAGTGTGTCTGCAATAAATTGTGTTTTCTTACATTTATTACACTTTCTTCAGTTTTTATTATTCTTTCATTAAGATTTGACGTGGAGAAGGAATGTTCAAAAATTGATGGAGATTACAAAGAAGACACTGTAATAAACAAGTCACATTTATCTAAAATTGAGACAAGAATAGACATAACAGGTAATTTGAGGGGATGGAACAGGAATCATTAAAGAGTTTCAAAAAATGTTTGAATTATAATGGAATCTGCCAACATATCAGATATCCTCCTTCAATACTACATAATTTTATTAAAAGTCTGTAGATTTTCCCCTAGAGCTAACCACCGTTAACAAATTTGATTATATCTTTTAAATACTTGATGTTTAAGGTAATAGTTACTGTATTTGAACTTAGTACAACTTCAAAATACAAGGGTAGGTTAAAAAAAAGTATTGCTACTAGGATTCCTGGTGTAGTGCCATAGGATAAGCACTGGATTGCTAACTAGACCAGCCACTCCTTGGAGACCCTATCCAGGGTCACTGTGAGTCAGAACCAACATGAGGGCATTTCACACCACCACCATGAGGGTTCTGGTTCACATGTGCTCACACAGGTTTAAGTCTAAACAAAACATGTTCAAACATGTCTCTGCTGTCGGTGGTGGCAGACAAGATCTCTCACTAATAAATCTGTCTTAGTCTTGTTTTTTTGTTAAGTGCTATCGAGTCAATTCCAACTCATAGTGATCCTGTAGGGTTTACAAGGAGCAGCTGGTGAGTTTGAACTGCTGAGCTTGCAGTTCCTGTAGCTTCTTGTTAGTCTGCCTTTTTAAAAAGTCTCATCAACACAAGTGGCATCCAGGGGATCTGCTGGGTCAGGTAGATTCAAGGCAGAGAAGTAAGCTCAAAGGGCGAGGCTGTAATGGTTAAGTTATGTATCCATTTGGGCTGGACCATGATTCTCAATGGTTTGGCAATTTTGTAATGGTATAATCCAGTAGTTAAGTAATGATGTAATTTAACAGTTATGTAGTGATGCATACTATGATCTGATGTGACAATGTAGCCATCCTCTATGTTTGCATAAAGCTGAATAGCCCATAACAGCATGGTCTTTGGACCCCAACCATGTCGATAAGTGAGCAGTGGATGCGGTTGTAGGAGATAGAACTGCAGCACTGAATATGTTATTAGGCCAGTTAACTGACATCTCCCAGGAAACCATGGCCCTGAACCTCCAACTCAAGGAATCAAATCCCATGAGCTTTTTATTTGTACATAAGGAGCCTCAGCAGCTACTCTTGTTGATCTGTCTAACACACAACTAAATCAATTCAAACTTTTCAAAATAAGCATCCTTGAATTTAACTCTAAAAAAACTATGCTAAAGTATACTTTTTCACATATAACATATACATTTTTCATATTCCACAAAAATATAGATATTTATTTATTACATATAACATGCACATTTATTTCTAGGTTTAACTGATAAGGAAAAGGATTTTCTTGCTACTCATGAAAAGGAAAAAGGAAATGAAGCTTTCAACTCAGGGGATTATGAAGAGGCTGTAATGTATTATACTAGGTGAGCTGATTTTTCTTGTGGTTTAAATTTGCCTTTTTAAAAATGATCAGGTTTGAGTTTAGCTGCTGAGTTGATATAAGCTGGTAGTGTACATCAGAATTATTCGAGAAATTGTACTCATTATTTGTCAGCGATTCACTTAATGTTTGCTTTGTTTCCTCAGTACTTTTCTCAAATTTCTGGCCTTCTACCCTACCCCTACTTTTGATGACTCAACTTTCCTACTTTTCAGAGAAGGTAGAAACTGTCCAAAGAGACCTTGACAGAAAGTTCATCACGTTGCCATCAAGTTGATTGCTGACTCACAGCCACCCTGTAGGACAATGTGTAACTGCCCAAAGCTGTAATCTTTATGGAAGCAGATGACCACAGATTTCTCCCGAGGAACATCTGCTGGATTTGAACTATGGACATTTTAGTTAGCAGTTGAGCCCTTAACTTTGCAACCAGACCTCCTTTCATATAGCACAACAACAACAAAACTCCAAACCATCAAGTTAATTCTGACTCACAGTGACCCTACAGGACAAAATCGAACTGCTCTGTTGGATTTCCAAGCCTAAATCTTTTTCATCAACACTCAGGCATATATAATAATTTAAACCACCAAAGGGCACATTCTGCAAGCCTGCCTCCTGGCCGCCAGCTCTCAGTCCCTCTCTTCCATCAATCTAGACTCCTCAGCTTCTCCCTCTCTCCATGTCCCCATCTCTGCCTCCATCTCTGGTGTTGCTGCTTCTCTGGATAGGGTCCCACATTCTGCTTGTGTTTTTCTGTCTTGATGGCCCTAGGGTCCTCTGTTTCTCGACTGTAAGATTAACCACTCCCCCATTATTTTTCAAAAATGTTTTATTGTGAATTATGTGATAGCTTACATGGGAGAACATTAGCTTTACATTCATCCTATCGTATATCATTTCATTACAATCCCCTCCATGCATCATCAACCAATCAAAGGGTATACACTTCAAGCCTGTCCCCCGGTTGTCAGCACATAACCCCTCTCCCTCACTGGGTCTAGAGTCCCCAGCTGCTCCATCTCTCCACGTCATCGTCTTACTCCTCCATTTTTGTTATAAAACTTCTACCTTTACAGTTGTGACAGTCACAATTAGTCATGATAACAATTACTCACATTGAATCATAAGAATCTTATCCCCATCTCTTTTTATCAGACTCATCTAGACAAGATGAAAACTATTCAGTGGGAACTCTATCTTCCCCCACACACTCTTAAACTCAATTCCCTCTTGAAACCTTGTAAGCCAGTCACTGCATGCCTTTATCACCCCCTCATTTTAGGTAGACAATGTCTAAGTTGCCCATCCCTATCTACCTTGTGTACAGAGGGGATAGCATTGATACTTGATGTGAAGACTCCTTCCCTCTCTGTTGATATTTTGAGCTACTACCTCCATGAGCATAGGTCAAGTTAATCAAATTGTAGCGATTTACCCCCATTTCCGTTATCGATTTTTTTTTATTTTTTTATCATCCCCTAGTCGAGTTCTGATTATCAAGCCATCGAGGCTAAGTCAAATGGGTACTGACTGCAAGTTTGGATGTTCTTGTGCATCTCCCTCATTTCTTATCAGCTGGATGCTTCACTCTCAGCTCTAGCCCTCTGTGGCTATGTGCTTGTCCAGTGGGCTCAGGTGTCCTCAGGTCTCACCACACGTAACACCAACCTGTCCTTCCTCTTCTCTCTCTCATCTCTTGATCAATGGGAGTCTATGGAACATGGTTGAACTTAGCCTATTTCTTCATTGCTGCCTTTCCCCCTCTTCCACTCACCATAGACCAATGTGATCGCCAGCGTGTTTACATGCCTGCTCATGTATTCCCTTTCAGTTTCAGTCTTACAAGGGGTTTTGCAAGACTCAATCTTTAAGGGAGCAAACACACTCTTTCTCCCATGGATTGCTGGTGGGTTTGAACTGCCAACCTTGAAGACCAATAGTTAGCCCACAGCACCACCAGGACTCCTTTTCATATATCATGGTGGTGGTGGTTTTATGCTGTGGAGTCAGTTCCGACTCATAGCGACACTGCTGCATAGGGTACCTGAGGCTGTAAATCTTTACAGGAGCAGAAAGCCTCATCTTTCTCCTGCAGAACAGCTGGTAGTTTAGAAGAGCTGACCTTGAGTTTAGCATCCAACTTGTAAACACTATGCTACCAGAGCTCCTTTTTCATATAGCATAAAGTAAAATTAGCTTCTGGAGTCAGATTTCTTGGATCTCTTTTAGCACTTGTAGATCTCCCTCCCACTACAGGGTCTTTGCACAGGTTGGGTCTTCTGTCTGGAATGCTCTTCCCTCCTGTCACTATTTTGTTAATTTTCATTTATACTTCAGGTTACCACCCATCCCTTCTTCAAGGTAGTCTTTCCTGACTTCCTTGTTTAAATCTCAACCTCACCCCAATTTATAGGCTCTTGAAACAATCTTACTTGTTTGCAGCACTTTTTCAAGGTAAGATTGAAGTTTGTGTGATTTGATGCCAACAGGATTTAAAGCTCTGTGAAGGCAGAACCCAAATGTCAGTTTTCATGCTACTGTATCCCCAATACCCAGTGAAGCTCTTGGTTCCTAGAAGGTGTTTAATAAATATTTATTGTATGAACTTTTGCGGTTCTTATAGTCTGTGACTATGAGGTGTCCTGGTGTGGAGCTTCAGGATAATGCATTGGATTGCAGGGTCAGTTTGAGCCATGAGGTAGGTGGTTCATACCCACTAGCCACCCCTCAGAAACCCTACACAGGTTTGCTCTGAGTTGGAACTGACTCGGTAGTACTTAACAACAACAAAGACAACAACATAGTCTATAAAGGGAGTGTGGTGGTTCTGGGGGATAAACACTGGACTGTGAACCACAAGGTTGGCATTTTGAGCTCTGTAGGAGAAGGATGATGCTTTCTGCTCCCACAAAGATTTACAGCCTCAGAAACCTTGTACTGGGTTACTGTGAGTTGGAACCAAGTTGAAGGCACTTAGAACAACAACATAATCTATGAAAAACAGATAAAATAGTATACAAACTGTGCCTATAGAATCACTAATGTTACCTTAAAACTAAACTCTGTAAAATCTTCTTTCAACTTTCAGAATGAAGATAATTGGTTTTATTTTATTTATTTTTAATGTTATTTCTTTCTCTGGAGAAGTTGGTCTCAAACCGTTTAAGTGAACACAGAAGGTAAAGAGGAGATTTAATGATTCAGTGTCGTCTCCCCTGTTAGCCAAGTTGATGTCAGACCTACCCAGCTCTGATATTGTTCCTTCTCCTCTTACAGAGCTCTACCAGAATAGAGGGACACAACTTTGATGTCCCTTTGAGGGGTCATATTGTAGCTGAATTAAAGCAGCATGGCATGTTAGTGAAGGGAACTCAGATTGCTTCTTTCTGACCTTGGGCAGGTTCTTCAACTGTCTTGCCTCCGTTTCTTCACAGGGATAAGGCTATAATAATAGTACCTGCATGAGGAGCCTTGTTGGTGTAACAGTTAAGTGCTTCAATGTTAAGCACAAGATTGGTGGTTCAGACTCACCCAGTGGCTTCATTAGAGGAAGATCTGACAATCTGCTCCCATAAAGATTACCCCCTTGAAGACCCTATCGGGGCAGTTCTACTCTGTCACGTGGGAGACCTGGTGTATTGCCATAGGATAAGCACTTAACCTCCAAGTAGGTTTGAACCACAAGGTTAGCAGTTCAAATTCACCAGATGCTCCTCGGAATCCCTATACAGGGTCATTAGGAGTTGGAACCAACTTGACGGCATTTAACAACAAACAACAACAACTCACATGGGGTCGCTATGAGTTGGAATTAACCTAATGGCACCCAACACCACCACCACCTCAGGACTGTTATGAGAATAAAATAAAACAACATGCTGAAGGGCAAGATAATGTGCTGGTGAAGCGTGCCATCGCTGGGCCAGACTGGGTTTGAATCTTGGCTCAGATCATTTAACCTTTCTGTTACATCTGTTTTCTAATCTGTAAAATGGGAAGGACAGTAGTACTACCTCCATGGATTGTAATGACAAATGACTTGTGTACTGTAAACTACTTAGTGCCTGGCCTATGTATGCAGTGTAAGAGACTCCTATTAGTTTCCGTATGTGTTGTCCATGTAGATTCTATACCCCACCATGCAATTTCTTTATAGTCATCTTTAATGATTTTAGTAGGTCAGCGGTTCGAAACTACCAGCTGCTCCGCGGGAGAAAGATGAGGTTTTCTACTCCTGTAAAGAGTTACACCCTCAGAAACCCTGTACAGGGTCGCTATGGGTTGGAACCGACTCAACGGCACTTAACAACAACAACAACTAACCTAAAGGTTGGCGGTTCAAGCCCAGCCAGCATTACCACAGAAAAAAAAAGATCTAGTTATCTGCTTCTGTAAAGATTACCACTAAGAAAATCCACTAAAGATTACCACAGTGACATGGGTCACTGTGAGTCAGAATCAAGTCTAAAGCAATGGTTTGATTTTGCTCTGGTAATGATTTTGGTCAATTGACACTTTTTGTGACTTTTCCATTTTCATCTTCTATTCCTTTTCTGGATTTAGTAAATTCAGTACACCAATAACCTTACCTTCTCTTTACATTTGTTGCTGTTAAGTACAGTCAAGTCATTTCCAACTCAGAGCAACCCTGCATAGGGTTTCCAAGGAGTGGCTGGTGAGTTTGAGTCACCAACCTTGCAATTCAAACCATATTTCACAGCATGTTCTAAATCAAGTTTTTGAGCAACAGCCCAGGAGATATTAAGAATTTTTTTGCACTCATACTTGTAAATCTAATAAAATTTGTTTTCCTAAAGTCCATAGTTCTCATCCCATTGATTACTGGCCTCTTTTTCCTTCAATTAAATTACTTTATGATCACTTTCTTAGAGTTACTTGTACATTCAGATTACAAACTGATTTGTGTCTGTTAACACAATAACAACACAGTAAAGTTGTGGTTGTTTGTTCCATTTTTTGTGCTAGGTAAGCTGTCCCCAAGAAGTCAAAAAGAAAAAAAGTGCTTGATATTTGAGATTAATTAAACAGATGTTTTAATCAGTGGGTATTTACTAGGAACACAGGTGGCACGATGGTTAAGTACTCAGCTGCTAACTGGAAGATTTGAATTCAGGAATGGCTCCAAGGGAGAAAAGACTAGGTGTTCTGCTCCCATGAAGATTACAGCCTACAAAACCACATGGGGCAGTTCTATATGTTGGAATTAACTCGATGACACACAACAAAATTCTCACATTGCTATTAAAGCTTGAGTCAACTCTAAAGTCTTTAATTGGTTATATAAATACCTATGTACATATTGCTTTTGTGTGTTTGTAGAATTGTATTTTATTACTTTTGATGATCTAGGCCATAATTGCTTTATTTACAACGTTAGCTGAGTTTCTGTCTTATGTTTACCTTGCTTCTGTCTGCTGAGGACCAATCAGTGCTTCTCTTATAGGAGTCTATCGGTTCTGCCTACTGTGGCTGCGTATAACAATCGAGCTCAAGCAGCAATCAAGCTACAGAACTGGAACAGTGCTTTTCAGGATTGTGAAAAGGTCTTGAAGTTAGAACCTGGAAACCTAAAGGGTAAAAAAAAAATTCTCAGAATATATTTTTAACTTTACAGCAGGATCTGATCTATTAAAGGCGATTTTTATACACTCATTGCATTTACCCTAAACTATGCAAAGTAAACTCAGATTTGTTCTTGTGAGTCACCACCATTATAAAATTACTTTAAATTTAACTTCTATTTGGAATGTAAGCCCCTGATTATTTGTACTAAATTGAATAATCAGATGATTATTCAATCAGAAAATTGAATAAAATGTTTTAAGAACTAAAACTTGATTCAAATTCTGTAGTTTAATCTGAAAAAACCATTTAAGAATATTTTAATATGGACATTTTCTGGTACTCTCAGTGCTGTGTCTGATATAATAAAGTAAACAGTCCATACTGGAGCTGCAGAACATTTTACCATCTGATCTGTGGGCATTTCCTCCATGATGTCCATGTTGTTGTTGTTAAGTGCCATTGAGTCGATGCTGACCCATGGCGACCCTGTATAGGGTTTCCAAGGAGCAGCTGGTGAGCTTGAACCGCCGACCTTGCAGTTCAAATGACTTTGCAGTCTGGCGCATTAATCCACGGCGCCATACCATAGATACTTAAAATGCATCCAAAACAGACTAGTTGTTCCACCCAAACCTGCACTTGAATTTCCTGCCTCGGTGACTCTTGCGCTCCATGGCCCAGCCTGGAGTATGCCAGTCAGACTCGCTTTTCTTCCTTTTCTGTCATCAAGAAGCACACATTCATTCCAAGAGGGAGTCTCACAAATTATAATAGACAGAATATATGAAGTGGTGTTAAAAAGTTTGTGGGAAAATGGAATGAAAAAATTATGAAGCCCCTTTGTAATTCTTTTAAATTCCTTTAAACATCAAATGTTGTTAAGTGCCATTGAGTTGGTTCTGACCCACTGCAACCCTGTATAGGATTCTCTATGAGCAGCTGGTGGGTTTGAACTGCTGACCTTGTGGTTCGCAATCCAGTGCTTATCCTACAGCACCTTACCAGGAGTCCATAAACATAAGTAGACTTCAAATACATGTAAGTACTTAGTTTTTTCCCCTCACCTGGAACATGCCCCTTTGTGTCTGCAAACATGGGTAGGCAGATGTCATAGATGTGCTGAGGATTACCTGGTACATCTGCCCTGGCCATCATTGCCAGTTACTGCCTTCCATTCCACAGTAAAGTCATCTTGTGTCTGTATTTTGTGCTAGCTGTTCTTCATCATAGAGTATGGATGAGCTCTCAGCTGTCATCAGGCACCTGGTAAAGCTTCTGTGTTCTTCTCATGGGCCCACCAGGCCACCGCTCTGTCAGATCCTTTGCCAAGAGTCTGATGCATGGATTAACTCCATTAATTTTCACAACTGCCTCATAGAGGTACAGATACTACTGTTAGCATACCCATTTTATAGAGCAAGTAACTCAGGTACAGACAGGTTAAGCATTTCACTCAAGGTCACAGAGCAAGTGAATGGCAGAGCCAGGACTCAAAACCAAATGACAGACTCCAGAGCTACTCTCTTGCCACTAGAATGGCTTTGTGTTTTAATATTTTCCTGCTTGAGTAATTTCTTAAACACCAAAACTTTCACTACTGAAAGGCAAATCTGGAAAAGTCAGACGGGTAGTAAGCATAGCCATAAGCCATTAAGAAATCTTACGTTTGCCTAAGTGAATAAATAACTTCCTCGTCAAAACTTTATTTTTAGCTGGAAAAAAAACAAAACACCTTGTTCCAAGCATAATGTGGCAGGTTGGATACAATCCTGGAACAGAAAAAGTGTATTAGTAGAAAAACGGGTAAAATCTGAGTAGTCTGTAGTTGATAGTATCACGCCTAAGTTAATTTTGGTGGTGGTTATATAAGATGTTAGCATTACGGGGAATGGCTAAAGGTATAGGGGAACTCTATGTATTATCTTTGCAACTTTTCTGTAAACATAAAATTATTCTAAATAAAAAAAATTAAATAATTTTTATATCAATATTTCTTCATAAAAATTCCCTTTCCAAAAGCTGGAATAGCAACAGCTAAAGGGTACTTGACTCCTGGTGTGGCACTGTAGGATCAGCACTGGGCTGCGAACCACAAGGCCAGTGGTTCAAATCTACCAGCTGCTCCTCAGAAACCCTATACAAAGTTGCTATGAGTTGGAGTCAACCTGATGGCCCTCAGCAGCAACAACAAACTGTACTTAAAGCAAGCACAGTGTTACAGTTTTGATTACCTTTATGAAAATGTGACTTATGCTTTCAATTTTCACGGCTCATTGTAAGACTCAAAGTTGGTCAAATTTATAATTCAGTTTTTAAATGGCATATGAAAATGTGTCAGATGTAAACTCTCAAATTTCAGAATTACAAGCCTGATTCTTTTCAAAATAATGACTATATAAAGTTCTCTTATTATGTGTTGTTTTGTTAAGTGCTGTTGAGTCAGTTCCAACCCATCGCGACCCTGTATGGGGTTTCCAAGGAGCAGCTGGTGAGCTTGAACTACCAACTTTGTAGTTCAAATGGCTTTTCAGTCTGGCGCATTAACCCACAGTGCCACACCAAGACGCCGTCTTATTATATAGTGACAGATAATAATGAGACTAGAAGGCATTCATTTTTTAGCATTAAATAATTACTAAATTGTCCACTGAAACCTATCCAAAACATTGATGCAAGTGAACAAAGCACTCAGTTTCTGACTTACTGATCAGGATTCTCTCAGAGTTACTAGTGCAAAATACCTCCTTCATTAGAATTTCACTTTTGAAATTATTTATATAGATTTTGCTAATGAATCCATATTCTAAGATAGGTGCTAGTCAGCAATATACTAAGTAAAGGATTTTCTAAATTTTCATAAAGTGGTGAAATAGTAAAATGATGCCAGTGGTGGCTATGAGAAGGAAAGCATTATTGTTACATAAAAAGCCCCCAATATTGCGTCACAATGTGGTACCTCTTAAGGGTTACCCAGTGGAGTTACTGAGACCCTGGAGCAGCTGGCAGGACCGGGGTTACCAGATGGGAGGTTGTTGGAGGAGAAGATTGCCTGATGTAGCTGCTTCCATTTATTTCAGTACCACTTTCTGTACGTACAACAATGTGAAAATGGGCGTTGCTAAGCCTTTGTATTAATAACATCCTAAACTTTTCTATGCTATTTATATTCTACTTGCAAAATTAGTTATAACTGTATGTTGTTGCTGTTGTTAAGTGCCATCGAGTTGGTTCCGAGCCATCTCGACCCTGTATAGGATTTCCAAGGAGCGACTGGTGAGCTTGAGACACCAACCTTGTAGTTCAAATGGCTTTGCAGTCTGGCACATTAACCCACAACTCCACCCCAGGACTCCACCACTTCTTAAAAAACCATAACTTTTATTTGTTTCGTCTTCAGCTCTTCTGCGCCGTGCCACTACGTATAAACATCAGAACAAGCTCCAGGACGCTGTAGAAGATCTGCGACAAGTACTGGATGTTGAACCTGAAAACGAGTTGGCTAAGGTAAGTACAAAAAGTGTCTTCTTACCTAATCCTATAGTTTGCTATTCTTGTACTTTTGTTGAAATCATACAAGTATTACTGGTTTCAACCTTGCTGAGTAAATCATATTGAGGATTAGGTCACAGCTTTAAAAACAAGTACACAAAAAGTTCATGGAAAAATAGAATCTAAGAGGTAATGAGATTTTTCCTTTAACTTTTTGAAGCCTCCTTGTAGAGCCCAGATATCCCAGAATATTAACATCTATTTGAAGGAGTTCTGGTGTGGTGCTGTAGGATAAGCACTGGACTGCTAACCACAAAATCAGCAGTTCAAACCTACCAGTTGCTCCTTGGAAGCCCTATATAGGGTCACTGTGAGTTGGGACTGACTCAGTGGCACTTAAAAACAACATTTGAAGTGGAATAAAGCAGGTTCTTAAAATTTTTTCCAAAACTAAAATAAGCACTGAACTGCTAACCACAAGTTTGGTGGTGTGAGCCTATCAGCTGCTCTGTAGGAGAAAGATGAGGCTTTCTGCTCCCATAAACATTTACAGCCTCAGAAACCCTGTGGGTTGCTATGGGTTGGAACTGTCTTGATGGCACTTATTAACAACAACAAGCCTGTGTCCAAAGGGCAAATAATTAATTTTTCTCTTCCCAGTAATCAATTGTAGGCAATGCTATTCTTTGAGCTAATCTTGATTTATTAAGCAGAATGGTACAGAAACTAGGGTTAGGCCTGAGCTCGGTGACCACCGAAGAGCATTGTATCTCTGTAACACTGACTGGCATAGTTAGCATAGCATCATTGGCAGCACTTACCACTGACTGAGCAGAGTGACTCAGATATGTACTTCGGGAGTTATGTATTAAGCTCTAAGTTGGAGAGATAAGTGCCAAGAACTATGAAAGGTCCAAGACTTTACCCTACTTAAAAATTGGCTCGCTAGACTAGTAAAAGATAAGAAACTCAGCTTAGAGACTAAACACCTAATTTATGCACAGCAAGCAAGCAGATAAGCTTTATTGTTGCATCAATTTCCCTTGCCACCTGGTCCCATTGAGGATGGCAGAATGGGCTAGGTGGTTGCTGCATACTCAGTGTGTTTGTGGCACAGTCAAGGAATCCCAAACTTAGGGAAACCCATCTTTTATAAAGGGTTACATGCAAACCTGCCCTGTCTCTGCTCTAGAGAAAAACATTACCTTTATTATACAGCGTCTCTCAGAGATACTGCGGGTTGCATTCCAGGCTACCACATTAATACAAACAGCATGATAAAGTGAGCCACGTGAATTTTTGGTTTCCCTGGTGTGGCCCTGTAGGACAAGCACCAGACTGCTAGCCACAAGGTTGGTGGTTCAAATCCACCAGCTGTTCTACTAAGGTCTTCACTCGACTCCATGTCATAAGTGTAGTGTCTTGACAGGAAGCCAGCAGATTTGAACCTACCTACTTTGAAGCCGCTCATCATGATGAAACTTAGACACAAAAAGAAAAAGTCAGTTTCCAAAGGTGGCAAGAGGCCTACAAAGAATATTAGGGAGAAAACAGCCTGCAAAGTTTCCTCTGCTTCCCAGCTTGTTAACTACAGTGGTTATGCCAACCGGGAGGGAGAATTAAAGTAGAAGAGGGTGGAGCAGATGAGAGAGAAGCAGCAGGCTGCCCGGGAGCAAGAGAAACACAGAGGCAGGACCATCGAGAGCTACTGTCAGGATGTCATGAGACGCCAGGAAGCATTTGAGCGCAAGGAGGAAGTTTTACAGGAATTAAATATGTTTCCTCAGCTGGATGATGAAGAGGAAGGCTTATTATAAGGATTTCCGTAAGGTGGTGGAGTACTCTGATGTGATTCTGGAAGTCTTGGATGCCAGAGATCCTTTGGGCTGTCGCTGCTTCCAAATGGAGGAGGCTGTCTTACAGGCAGATGTCAATAAGAAGCTGGTCTTGGTCTTAAACAAAATTGACCTGGTACCCAAGGAAGTTGTCGCAAAGTGGCTGGATTACCTTCGGAATGAACTGCCAACTGTGGTGTTCAAGGCCAGTACCCAGCATCAGATAAAAAACCTGAACCGCTGCAGTGTGCCAGTAGAGCAGGCCTCTGAGTCATTGCTGAAAAGCGAATCCTGTTTTGGAGCTGAAAACCTCATGAGGATTCTGGGGAACTATTGTCGCCTTGGTGAAGTGCGCACCCACATCCGTGTGGGGGTTGTGGGCCTTCCAATGTCGGGAAGAGCAGCCTGATCAATAGCCTGAAGCGCAGCCGTGCCTGCAGTGTGGGAGCTGTTCCTGGAGTTACCAAGTTCATGCAGGAGGTCTACTTGGACAAGTTCATTAGGTTGCTGGATGCCCCAGGCATTGTCCCAGGACCCAAATCAGAAGTGGGCACCATCCTATGCAACTGCATTCATGTGCAGAAGCTATCAGACCCTGTGACCCCAGTGGAGATCATCTTGCACCGCTGTAATCTGGAGGAGATTTCCAACTATTACGGCGTCTCTGGGTTCCAGACCACTGAACACTTTTTGACTGCAATAGCCCACCGTTTTGGAAAAAAGAAGGGAGGCATATACAGTCAGGAACAGGCAGCCAAAGCCGTCCTGGCTGACTGGGTGAGTGGAAAGATCAGCTTCTATACACTACCACCACCCACCCACACTTTACCTACTCATCTCAGTGCTGAGATTGTTAAGAAGATGACGGAGGTCTTTGACATTGAGGACACCGAAAAGGCCAACGAAGACACGATGGAATGCTTGGCCACTGGAGAATATGATGAGCTGTTGGGTGACATGGACCCGCTTGAGATGGAGATCAAGTGGCTCCATTCTCCGACGAGGGAAAATAGCAGATGCTGTTGAAAATAAAACCACCATGTATAAGATTGGCAATCTCACTGATTATTGTACCAATCCAAATACGCATCAAGTGGGGTGGGCTAAAC